CGGTGGATGTATTTGTCAAATAAGAAAAAAAAATCAATAAAATAATGTTAAAAAATACCCAACATGTTTTTGTGGGGTTGTACAACCCCATAGATTTGGCTTTCACTAACCATTTGATCACTAGCATGCTCTGTAGACCTACTCTTTGCATGTCATGTAAATGGTAGTCTGCTTATTTTGATCTAACAGTTCACAACTGTAGAGCAAGTATACGTGGAATGGGGTGGACCAGCTAGCAGGTTGGCTTCTTGCTCCCTGAGAGGGCAAATGTCTCAAGAAGGACAGTACTGAAGATGCAACTTATGACAGATTCAGAGTAGGTCAGCCTTCATGGGAACCTGAGAAATTTGGTCCCCCATCCCTAACTGTACTCAGGTATGCCATGCAATCAAGGCACATCACTATAATATTAATTTTATTATTTATACTATGCCCATCTTGCTGGGTTTCCCCAGCCACTCTGGGCAGCTCCCAGCACATATGAAAATATAATAAATCATCAAACATTAACAACTTCCCGATAACAGGGCTGCCTTCAGATGTCTTCTAAAAGTTGTTTAGTTCTTTATCTCATTGGCATCTGATGGGATGCTTTCCACAGGGAGGGCTATGAACCCCACAAAGGAAGTCCGTAACTCAAACCATTTCTGCACTATATGTTTGATTCTATACCATACGAGTTGATGATTCAAAGCACTACTATGCCACTTTAAAGGTCATGGCTTCCCCCGAAGAATCCTGGGAATGGACTTTTGTAAAGAGTGCTGAGCATTGTTAGAAGGCCCCTTATTCCGGTTGCAGAGGTACAATACCCAGTGTGGTTTAATAATAAGTCTCTCTTCCCAGGGAACTCTGGGAATTGTAGCTCTGTGTGGGGAATAGAGGTCTTCTAACAAGTCTCCATGCCCTTAAACTACAGTTCCCAGGATTCTTTGGGGAGAGGAGCCGTGACTGATTAATGTGGCATAACAGTGCTTTACTATTCATGGTACAGATGTGGCCTCAGGTGGCATGGGATTATATCCCTCTGTCCCCAGGTGTACATGGTGTACACACTTATTGCTCACAAGGGTGAGGCAGAAAGGGTGCTATGCACATAAAAGGAGCATTTTGCATAGACAGCTGACCTTGCAACACAGATGGAAACCTAAGCTAATACTCCTCTGCCTAGAACCCCAACAGAGACGTCGCCTTGGAATTCCAAACAGAGACAGCCAACTCCACTCAACAGCTGGGGTAGCCAGGTCAGAGTTCTGCATGTAGGTAAGCAGGGAAATGCTGTGATAATGTACTAACTGCAACAGCAGCAGCCTCCAATATCTCCCCTCATCCCGTTTGCCATGTGCGAAGACTGCATCTCATCCAAAGCCTCTTGCTCTAACCCTCCAGTTGCTGATCTCTGCTTGTTGCTTGCTGATTCCATGTCTCCTCTTGCTCTCCACAGGCATAGTGGATGGGACTGCCCCATCCCATGCAGGCTGTGAAGGAAGTCCAACAGCACCCGTCAATATACTCACACCGGACAGGCTCCTGTGCCCTGGCAAGCTCCATGGCCGCTGGTCAGCCAACAGGTGATGCTATCTGTAGTATGGACACCAAGCTGTGGGGGACACTTTGTCTGCTGTCCTGCAACTGCCCTCAGCACAAGAACCCTGCTGGAGCATCTGACCATCAAGGCCAGACATCTGTCTTTACCTTTCAAAATCTGCCCCATCCCTGACTGTGCAATAAACACCACTACCATGCTGTGTGTGTTTTCCCTGTGTTTGCTAGAGGTTGGGGGGCAGGGGCCTTGCAGACTCCCCCTCTCTTGCATGCAGCTATCTAGTTTGCAGCATGAGAAGGGGCAACTTAGCCAATCTGTGGGTGGGTGCGAGAAGTGGGGCAGCTTAATACTGACAAGGGAGAAGAGCACATGGTGGCAGCCAGATAACCAGCCAAGCAGGACAGCCATGATCTTGTGCACCCATCAATGTCCAAGGGGGAAGTTCCACCCCGCACCCATCTTGTCTCACCTGCACAGGACGTCTGTGCCACACCCATCAACCTAGAAGAACATGTTGTGGAAAGAAAGCAGAATACACCACTAGCAGGCACTCTGCTGTAGAACAGCTGCAGGAACCAGCCCTCCCAGCTGTCCTGGGCTTGCGGTGGAAGCAAAAGACAGGTCAGGACCCTGGACAGCTCCCAGTGGACCTTGCTAGTTGACAATATTTGTTGGATCCACACCGTATGTTTAAAGCACATTGCTCTCTCCCCCCACCACCAAAATAATCAATCAATCAATCAATCAATCAATCAATCAAGGGAACTGTAGTTTACTCAGGTCAGGGTACTGGGAGCTATAGGACTGTGATGGGCAAACTATAGTTCCCAGGGTTCTTTGGGGAAGCAATGTGCTTCAAATGTGCTTTAGATATATCGTGTGCTTGTGAAGTTAGCCTCAGTCAAGAGCTGGGACCTTGAGGCATTATGTTTTCTGGCAAGACCTACACTATAGTTCCTTGTGGAGCTGGTTGTCCAATTCCACAGGTGATGACTTCCATGTTGTGTAAACAAAGGAAATGTTATTGAGGGAGAAGGTGCATCCTCTGAGTCTGAGGAGGGCAGAAGAGTTAGGTCCTCTGGCCAGAAGAGCCCAGGGGGAGGTGCTCAGCCTTCCATGCACCTATATTTTCTCATCATTTGTGTCTTCTTTAAGGTAATGTGAGAGAGCAGGTTTGGGGGCCGTGACATTGGCCTACCCATTTCATATGCCCCCTCTGGTCCACACCTGTGCATTGCTGGGCACAGAAGGTTTCTTGGCCTAGCAGAGGATCTGAGCCACAGTTAGTCTCCCCCAGACCTCAGAGGTTGCTTTTTGCACTGCCTGGGTATATTCGTGTTTATTGCTGCTTGGTTCTATGCCTTTATTCCACTACACACCTATGATTCTTTAATAGGGCATTTTTCATTCTATCTATTATAGGCAGAGGGATTGAACTCTGCTGCAAAGGAGCAGCCATGTCTGTATTTGCCCCCACTTTGTTTATAGAAACAAAATGGTATAGAAATCCCAGACTTTCAGTTGAGGTCAAACTGTGGTTTTATTTCTGATCTCTTTCATAGTCTGACCTCTTTCATAGTGTCACTCTTTTAGTAGTGTGGGGTAAGATCTGATGAGTGGAAACGACATGTTTATTGGTCAAAGAAAGTGAGATGTAAAAAGTACTGGAGCACTTCTAGAACGTCTTTGCTTTATTGCATTTTCCTTATGTATCTGGTTTTAAATGATCGCCGTTGTTTTGTGATTTATGGATTTGTGAGTCACCGTGAGACATTTTCTTCTGGAAACGGACAAATAAATGCAACATAAATAAAGGGGTGTTCAGGAGAGATGGCACAACAGCCGTGGGAGGGAAAGGCTGCTCTAATTTACAGACATTGAATGAATGCTCCCATCCCAGACCTGTAAAGCACGTGAGTGCTTATTTAGTAAAGTGTTTTTAAAAATGTCATGTGTAAGCTATCATAATTTGCATCATAGGCACTATCCAATAGGCCAGCACATGGGCCATTTGAAACATGGTGGAAATCTCAGTGCACCCCTTAATTAGCTACAGTGGTACCTCAGTTTAGGAACTTAATCCATTCCAGAAGTCCCACTACCGGTGGCCTTCTACCGTTCGGCTTCCATTCGTAGACCAAGGAAAAGTTTGCAAACCGGGACACTACTTTGGGTTTTGCGGAGTTCATAAATCAAATTGTTCATAACAGGTCTTTTCTTAAACCGAGGTACCACTGTACTTTTCCCCCTTCTTCAATGCCAGCATCATCACAAGGACTAGTGCTATAACATGAAAATCACAGGTGGTATGTGTGTGCATGTGTGCTAGTCCAGGCTGCTAAGAAGGGCTCTTTTAAGTATTTATAGTTTTTTCTCCTGTAAGGGGGAAATTAGAATGTTGCTCCAGCACTGTATTATGAAATCCATGGGATGTAGGTTAGAGATCTGGTCAAAACAGCCTCTATTCTGCATTGTCAAAAGAAGGAGAAAATCAATCTCGGGGCTGTTATATCTGCTTTCCCTCTACCTTTCTGTGAATTATCTGAATGGAGCTCACAGTCTGAGAATGGCTGCAATAAGCACCTATAGGCCTTGCATAACCAGTAATGGTGGTAAAACTACATTTTCTCAGTAGCAGCAAATTGCAGTTTGAGGTATAGTGCTGCAATAGAAAAGCAACTTGGGGAGGGAGAAACCTGGATCCCTTGTAACTGATGAGTAGAAATGGCATGTTCATTGGTCAAAGAAAGTGAGCTGTAAAAAGCCCCCTAGGAAAGGGGTCTCATAACCTGCTCTGTGATTAGATACCATCAGAACTAGGGTATTTCAGATGCAGCTAACAGCAGGGGTTGTAAGTGCTATTTCAATGCTAAGCCTTTGCAGTGCATACCTGCAGGATTACTCAATCCACACTGGTCTCTGAAAGCAAATAAGCTTCCTTGCACAGTACCCTGAAATGTGGGAGCAAACTGAAAAGGTCTTCTTTGTTGTTTAGGGATTTATCAAAGAACCACCATGTGAACTTAACAAGACCTATCTCAGGACTTTCTCTTTGGCTGACAAAGCCATTAATCTGTAATTGTGTTTCTTTGTAGGTCCTGACATTTGCCTGGGGGAAAGCCTGTCATGAGATGCAGCAAAATGAGACCCTTCTCCATCACGAGAACCAATCCCACGGTCCTCTTGCAGTGCCATGATATTCTATCTAAAGAAGCACAATCAAAATGAGGTGCAAAATGGCTGTGTTTAATTAAGAACATAATGGCGTACAGAACTGAATGGCAACGGGAGACATAAGAGCCCTTTTCCTGCTCTGCTCTTAACACGGGCAAGAATGTGATTCCAGGGTTTGGGGTTGCTCCTTCTCCACGGCCACTGTCGATTCTCTCTGATCACTCCCTGGGGACCCAGAATAGGATGGGTGATGGACTTGTGAAGGGAGGTGCTATTCTCCATGGAGCCTTCTCTCCCCACCCAGTGGGTGCGGAATTCCGCCAGGATCAGGAGGCTGCTGCAGACAAGCCAGAGCTCTCTGCTCCTCAATTCCAGCCTCGACACCAAGACCAGAGATGTGGCCTCTGAGTCTGTGGGCCTCTTCTTCATGCTCTTGATTGACTTGACAGCCATTGTAGGCAATGTAGCCATTATGACGGTCATCATCAAGACACCTGCACTGAGGAAGTTCGTCTTTGTGTTCCACCTCTGCCTGGTGGATCTCCTGGCTGCCGTCACCCTGATGCCTCTGGCTATGCTGTCCAGCTCAGCCTTCTTTGACGGCACGGCCTTTGGGGATGCCATATGCCACATCTACCTGTTCTTGAGCGTCTGCTTCATCACCATGTGCATCCTCTCCATCTCGGCCATTAACGTTGAGCGCTACTACTATGTGGTGCACCCCATGCGCTACGAGGTGAAAATGACTGTGGGCCTGGTTGTCTGTGTCCTGGTTGGTGTCTGGATCAAGGCTGTGGTCATGTCCATCATCCCTATCCTGGGCTGGCTCTCCCAAGACCGTGCCAGTAGTTCAGCAGCTTATGGGGGACAGAGCTGCACCTTGCAGTGGAGTCGGAGTGCCTACTGCAAATTCTTTGTGGCTTTCTTTGCTCTTTTCTACTTCCTCCTGCCTGTCCTCATCATTCTGGTTGTCTACTGCAGCATGTTCAAAGTGGCCAGAGTGGCTGCCATGCACCATGGCCCACTCCCCACTTGGATGGAGACCCCTCGGCAGCGGTCAGAATCCCTTAGCAGTAGATCCACTATGGTGACTAGTTCAGGAGCCCCTCGGACTACCCCTCAGAGGACGTTTGGGGGTGGGAAAGCTGTCATCATCCTCCTGGCCGTGGGGGGCCAATTCCTCTTCTGTTGGCTGCCATACTTCTCCTTTCATCTCTACTCTGTGCTGAGCTCCCATTTCCCCGGCCGGCAGACAGAGAATGTGGTTACTTGGATTGGCTACTTTTCCTTCACCTCCAATCCTTTCTTTTACGGGTGCCTCAATCGACAGATCCGAGGAGAGCTGAGTAAGCACCTCACTTGTTTCTTCAAGCAGCCACCAGAGGAAGACCTCAGGTTACCCAGCAGAGAAGGCTCCATTGAGGAGAACTTCTTGCAGTTCCTACAAGGGACGGGTTGCAATGCTGAGGCCAGAAACACTCTGACCCATCCTAGCCCTAAAAGGGACCAGCCGACCATTGATTTCCGGATCCCAGGTCAAATTGCAGAAGAGACCTCGGAGTTCCTGGACCAGCACATGAACAGTGACATCACTGTATCCGACAGCTACATCAGGGCTGCACGTTCACCCAAACCTGAGTTGTAGCTCTTTTTGCACTTGACAATCTAGTTTCATTGGTGTGTGAAATAATGCAGAACATAACAGCTGATGAAGGGTGGGGGAGATTGGGAGCACTTAATAAATACAACCATGGCATTTGGGAACTTATCGCTCCAAGAAACAGCTCCTACTAGTATCTCAGTCATTTCATTCCGTTTGATGGTAACTGCTATTCCCACTTGCATTTCAACTCATTCTTAAGGGTTGGAGTCAGAAGCAGCCTCATGTTTCAAGACTTCCAGAAGTTTCCATCTGTCTCGGGGATGGAGAACCTGACATCCTCCAGATGTTGCTGGACTACAACTCTCAGCATCTCTGACCACTGGCCATGCTGGCAAGGGCTGATGGGAGTTGGAGTCCAGCAGCATCCATCCACACCCCCTGCCAGTTTACAAAAGTTTATTTGATAGCTGCCACCTAGCAATGTTATCATTTGCTATGAACTTCTGTGTGGGGGAAGTTAGCCCTGTTGAAGAACAAAGGGCCTGCAAGCAGGGCTCCCTCCCTTAATTTATCTTCTGTTAAGCTGGTGTCCCTTAACTCAAAGGATGGAGTGAGGTTGCCCATTGTTCTTGGGGCCCCACATGACTGAGCCATGCAGGGGTGGATGGAGGCAGCTGTGGCAGAACAACTGACCTTTATGATGGAGGAAGATTTTAAAGAACCATTTTGGTGTCCTACTAGGAACGTTTAGCTCTGAAGGACTGTATTTCCTTTCTGTTGCCGAAGTCAGTGAAGCACGGGGAACGTGCTCTATGGCAGAAAGTGAACCAGACACTGGCAATTTCAAGGTCAGCGACAGAAGCCAGGCTTTGCATCACTTGACCTGGGTCTTCAGTCATCCAAAGCCACTGACTTCTGTAAGGGAAAGTAAATGCCACCTGTCTTACTGAGTTTGCTAGTTTGAAAATGTAAGGGCTCTTGCAAAAGATGGCTGTGGCGCGGAGGCAAAGGGTCTTGATGCATGGAGCACGCAGAGGCCCACTGCCTCCTCTCCCTAGCAGCCTGTCCCACTAGACTCCCCATGTGTTTCTGTAGGGGGTGGGGTGGGAAGGCATGTCATGCTGGTGGACCAATTGGGCTGTCATGTACATCTGCCTCCTCCATCTTGGATCCTCAAATTCTTGTCGGACTACAATTCCCATCACCCCTGACCTTGCTCCCTGTTGGCTGGGGATGATGGGTGTTGCAGTTCAACAACATCTAGGAACTCAAGCTTAGAAAAGGTTTTATTGATGATGATGATGGCCCAGTACATGTAATATTTCCCAGAATCAGCAGGGAGCCTGATCATTAACTGCCTTCTTCCTCCCACACAGTCTACCAAGCAATTGATTAAAAGTTGGGCCTAGGGGTCTTGCTGGGTCCAGACTGCAAGGTGAATTGAGTGTCATCGTCCCTCAGCTCCCTATCTATTCCCTACCTCCTGTCCCATCCTTCACACCTCCTGATTAAGATTGATGTTCCGCTTGGGATGCTTCCAGATGCAGAGATTTGTGGGTGAGTGGCATGCTCACCGATGCCCTGCTGCCCATCATCAGCTTGGTTCTTTACAGATGTTTTGGACCACAACTCCAATCAGCCCCAGCCAATACGATTGTGGTGGCTGGAGCTGATGGGGCAGGGGTTGTAGTCCAAAGCATCTGAACGAAATCAGGCCAGCAGAAGCTGGACTAACAATTGGCAAAGCAGCCACAGTTCCAAGACACTGGCAGTTTTAAACACACACACACACACACACACACACACACACACACACGACACAATGCTTCCTTCTTAGAGGCATTACGTCTGATTTGACACCACCAATTTTGTTAGAAGTGATCCTTCTAGCAATACAGTTCAAGAGCGGTCAAACTAGGTGTGATGCTGTCAGACTTGTTTGGAGGTGGCATTGACAGAGGTACAACATCATTCCATCTCAGAATTGAATTGGAAAACACCTAATAAACACAGGCCTTTCCCCCGCATCCCTGCTCAAATTAAGCAATGTCTTAGAACAGCTTTCATCCTACTGCCCCCTTTTTTTTCAAGGAACTTGTTGCTCCCTCCAGCCTCCCTATTGAGGGGGCCTTGGTGAAAAGAAAGGTGTGTTTGTTAAAGCCTGCCCACCCACCCACCACACTGCAAACTTTTTGTTTAATTCCCTAGTGAATTACCTCTAGTCCAGCTCTATTGGCTTCTGACCACTGATCAACAACAGTTTCCTATAATCTAGGCTTCTAAACATCATATTCTAAGGTGGACTAGATGGGGATTCCCTTCTGGGCCACAAAAACACACAGATGCACCAACACACTCCACAAGCACCCTTAAGCAAGCAGAAGCGCTGGCATCTCAGGGAGTGTGGAATGGGGATGACAACCACACCCAAAGCTCGTGATGCCTTCAGGCACGCCTGCCAAACCCAGTAGGCAATGTAAGGTCCTGTGACGGTGACCAGAGGGAATATTTTGGTGGCCTAGCCATCTCTGCATGAATGTGATTGTACTGTGAGATACGGCATCTTGCGTTCTAGTAAAGAATCTGGTGTTGTATCTTTTTCAGACTCCACAATCTCAGCTTTCAGTTTACATATATAGATATATAGATATACGGTCCTTACAGCTGTTGCATAGAAAACGTAGGGGGTGGAATTCAAGGTTGCCCTATTGCAAACGTTCCATCTATGCAAGCATATCAGCTTGCTGGAAAGGAAAATCCCCTCCCCCCTCCTCCTGCATGTTCTTGGGGTTCTCTTGACTCCCCCCCCCCGGCTAATTGGAGGGGGGAGGAAAGGAGGGGACATTCCATTGTGCAAGTGGAAGCCCTTCCCCAGGGCTTTCACAGATGGTGTTTGTTTGATGAATGGTACCCATGGGCCCTGAGATCTAAAGGCTCACAAACCTAAAGGGGGATGGACAGGGCAAGGATCAGGGGACCCGGCACATAGCCCAGCTGTGGCCTCCTTGGCTCACTTCTCCCTTCCATGTGCACATTTATGTCTCCCAGTGGCACATGCGCATTCTTCTTTCACGTCCTCTACCACAACACTTTCTCTTCAACAGTTCAGACAGGGCGTGGGTGGAGATCCAAATACCGCAGTTAGAAAGCTGTGTGTGTGTTGTGTAAAGTTTTGCCCATCTGTCCAATCTACAGAATTTTCTTAATGCGCAAATGTGGCGGGTGGGAGGTAGGAAGAGGTGAACTTGCAAAATTTGGTCTATCCCTATCCAGAATTCTCAACATCTTGGCTAAGGTGAAGTCTTCCCATCATGGAGACTTTGGGGCATGTCCTCTGCGTCATGCTGGTGGTCACATCTACACCATACATTTAAAGCACTCCCCACCCACCCCCCAAAAAATCCTGGGAACTGTAGATTGCCGCACCAGAGCTACAATTCCCAGCATTCCTTAACAAACTACAGTTCCTATGAATTTTTTGTTTTTTGGGGGGGATCATGTGCTTCAAATATATACAATGTATGCAGCTGATCACAGAAGCGGCTCTCCCTCTGGCCTGCACCAAAGGTGCCACCTGCCATCACGCTTTCCGATTGGTTGACCCCGCAAGAAAAGGAGGGAGTTTTTATGTAGGACAGTTGAAACCTTGAGCCACAAATAAAGTGATTATTTATTATGAAATTTGCTCCCTGCCTGTGTGTGAACAATGGGCTCTCGCCTTCTGAAACTTGAGCGAAGGGCTCCAGATAGGAGAGTGGCTATCCTGATAACATCGTCCAGATCTGATGCTGCTCCCCCAGCAGTGTGACTTGAAGCTGGCGGTGAGCATTAGGTTTTTTTTGATCTGCAGCCTGTGGAGTCCTATTCTAGAGGAAATTATGTTCTCTCTCTCTCTCTCTCCATTGCACTTTCTCTCTGCAGTGTTTTGCAAGCTGCTGGGTCTACTGGGTACAGCCAGAGGGAAGCAGGGAGTCTTGAGACAGAGGAAGTCGGCACACCATACATTTCAAGCAGTATGCCACTTTAAAGAGTTGTGGCTCCCCCCAAAGAATCTTGGGAACTGTAGTTATCCAGGATGCTCTAAGTGGTTAGGAGGCCCCCCAATGCCAATCACACTTGCTAGAGTTCCCAGTGAAGAGGGATCGATTGCTAAACCACTCTGATAACTGTAGCTCTGTGAAGGGAATAGGGGGTCTCCTAACAAACTACAGCTCCCAGAATTCTTTGGGGGAGGCCATGACTGTTTCAAGTGGCATGATGCTGCTTTAAATGCATGGTCTGACTGGGGCCTTGGCTGAGATCTAGGATGTGTACATTTCCCATTATTTCAACAGCCAATTCTTCTCCAGGTTTTGTTAGACAGGAAGAGAGTTATAGTTTCTCTAAGTTAGGGATGGGGTTGTGGTGAAATGAGTTCCTCTAGGCCTCTTTATTTGCTTCTCAGGACTCTCCTCAGGTTACGCCCCATCTCCCCTGACCACAGCTCTTAGTGGCCTTGCTATGCTTCCTCCCTGAGTGATTTTGCCAGGCTGGAATGTCTCGTTGAACTGTGTTTAATTTTGCCTCTTGCCTCTTTGCCTCTGGATGGAGGATGGAGAGATGCGTGTGTTGCGTGAAGGTTGGAATCTACATACATATTAAAAAACGCTGTGAAATGCTTTTTTTTTTTAAAAAAACCATTTTGAAAAAGACACAGAATTTTTCGTAGCTCAGTGTTGCCATCTAGTGTCACATTTGTATATTGCACTTTACCACACATTTAAAACGTTTTATTTGCAGCTATGTAGCTGAGTCCAAGGTGTCATAACCTCTATTTTTTGCATTACTGAAATGTAACCTACTGTACAAAGTTAGGATTCGCATTCATCGCTCCACACACTTTGGCCTCTGGGCCACCCACTGTTGTCCTGCGACTCTCCAGTTATCCTATGGGAGGATGGAACCCTCAAAGTGAAAAATATTCCCCACCCGCATGGTTTAAGAAAGTTGTACAGCACCCTTTATACAAATAGATCTCAGGGATTTACAATAAAATGCAATTG